TCACAACCATCATCACCTAGGTAACAATAGTAGTTAATATGACTAACAAAAGCGAAGTGTAAAGATGGGCAAGTATGTGCCTGCTGACATACTGCAAAATTTCCACCTCTGTATTAGCTGGTGGACCTCAAGATCTAGTGAGGTATGAGGCATTATGGCATTAAATTTACAGGCACCCTGGAGCTGGAATACAAGTACAGTCACAATTTTAAAAAATAGTAGGGGATTTTTATACCCATAAAGGTATTCAGATGTCAAGATAAGCAACAAGTCTAGCTCAGAGAATTTTGTATGAATGTTACTTCAAAAATAATTGTTTCCAATTACATAGATTCACTGGTGTATAATCAAATACTCATTTTAATTTAAACCATGTCATTAAAGTGCACAAGATCACGTGGTTTTATACGTACAAAAGAAACACAATAAGGTATAGAGCTTAAGAAACAAACAAATGCCTTTTGCTGGCTCTGTAGATTGCACTGAATAAGAGAAAAAGCACTGAACATTCCCGCAGCATTAGTAGTAACAAACTGATCCAAGTGAAAAGAGGGTAAAAATCCAAGCTTAGTAGTCTAAATAGTAGATGCAAGGAGCAATATACGTAGTAAATTTTGCATTTAAAAATATTTATTGCCTTTCAGATGCCAGGCATACAAGTGAAATTATTAACCTACAAGTTATTCAAGTCTACTGCCTAATTTTAAATCATGACTACATAGCAGAATCAGTAATGTCAAATATTCTTAAACGCTATGGTATCTATGTTTTCCTAGCATGTTCTGGAAAGAGGAATTGTTAACAGTTGTATGGTATGAACTGCAAAGAAAGTATAAAAAAATTCTTTAAATTCATCCCATATATATTAGGACAAAATCATTTGGCTGTTTTTTAATGATGGGGTGGCACATCAATGCACAGGATCTTTCCACATAGGAAATATTTCACAATCAATGCTGATGATTAGCTGTCAGAATGGCAAAAAAGTGTAAACAAGACTACAGCTGGAAATATTTTTTGCTCTTAAGACCTGTTACTCACTGCCTTATATTTTACATCTCGGTAACTTATGGTAGCCACAAAACATTATTAAAACAGCAGTAGCTATTTCAAGGTACTTCAACAGCAGCTTGATTTTCACAGATCTGAAAGACTGCACAAAGAACAAAGCAACAAAGAGTCAAAGTCACTTCTGTGCAGTCCAAGATAGGAACCTGTCTTGAGAAAAATTAAAAATACCAGCTTTTAATTTGTAATGATGCTATTTTACCATTATATAATGTCATTTTATGATTTCACAGTCTTACTGCAAGTTAAATGATCTGAATTGATACTGCCTCAATTCTCTCCCTGAATGCATGGCTGCCTCCCTCCCATATCCAACTCTAGCACTCACATGCCTCGGCAGTCAGCCAAGTTCCCAGTCTGAGCCGGCCAACATAGCCCTGCCACAGGTGGTTTTACATGTCAAGTTTCCTTTCCAAAAAGGCAAGATTATCAAGTTATTGCTGCAAGCAGACTAAGAACAGACCAAGAAGGTTTTTTTTACTACCAAACTATATAAACAGCACATTTCTTCAAAATATGTCAGTAATCAGGTACCTGATTCAGAAAGTGAGGACAGTACCTCAAAATGTACAATGGAACCAGATTTCATAAGGCTTTAGTGCTTTTACAGTAAATCCAGTGTCTTCATGAATTATTTCAGTTCCTAAGATCAAGCCTTCGTGTTAGGGACTTTGAACTGTCACAACATAATGTGCCTAAGATAGAGTCCTCCAGCTACTGAATCTATTTATGCAATACCTACCACCTGCTCTGCTGATGCAATGCTTTCAGGAACAAAAAAGAGCGTGGCAAGTTAAGCAATCACAGATTTCTTTGTTATTTTATTTGTCATTTCACATTAATTAATGACACTCTTGTATTTCAATACTAAAGCTTTAATAAAGGCCTATGGCAAAGGTATTACTTTTAAATACATATTTCAATCAGAACTAGTAAGTATTTCCAAGACATAGTGTAAATACCGTGAATACTCATCTTGTCAAGATTTATGCAATTTTAAAGACATGAGAAAACGCATTCCAGTTCCAGTTCAATGGGATTACTTGCATGCTGAGAGTTAAGCCTTTTCAGGTTGAATTGGATGAGTGACAAGACACTCAAAACCCTAAAAATATTTAGCAGTATATTTCAGTTCTTATTTTCCACTCATAAAACAGTATGCTATAGTAGCAAGTTTACTTTGGTGACTTTGTTGATGCAGGAAAAAAAAAAAGAAAAATGGGCGAGGATTTCAAAGGTTCTTCTGGGAACTACATGTCTAAGTTTCATTAAAATTTAATGGCATTTACATGCTTAAACTTTTTAGGATTCTTTAAAATCCAAGCCAAAACTGAATATCCTTAAAATTTTCAGAATGATTACAAGAGTAGAGTATAATGAGATTCATTTAAAATGCCAAGGACCTGACAATTTCCTGTAACAGGAGAAGTTGCTTGACCAGACACAAGTACCAGTTAAATTTAATAATCAAAGCTATCTATATAATGACAGAAAGGATAAAGTTTAATAGTTTCATTTCTTCCTTTTATGGGTAATGAAATAAGACTAACAATGGTTCTATTTCAAACGCTAATTGCAGGTGGGTCATTTCTTGACCCACAGCCTTCCTGATGAATTCTACAACAGATTACATAGCAAAAAGTAGTAGTCATTTGTTTTCCTGTTCTTCACATTCATTACTAGCCTACTGAAAAATAAGTATTATGGGAAAGAAAGAAGAGTCTGAAGACTGCGTTTTCATACACATTATTTGATTTGTTTGACAAAGCACTACATAAGTGAGTAGACAGTTGGAACAGACAACTTCCAAAGGTCCTTTACAATTTAAATTATTCTGTGATTCTATGACATCACTGAAATGCTTCAAAGAGAAAGGATATTAGCTGAGATATGTAATCTTGGCAGGGTGGAGAGGAAATTAACTGGACTGTGAAGAAAATGTTTCAGAATTAAGATCTGATTTTATGTATTTTTTTTTAAGAAATCTGCATTTAGAAATGAAGTCTTAAACTTCTGTTTCAAGGTTACCTACAGACATAGCAGATGTACATGTGGAATAAAAGCTGCCAGAAGATGCCAGCTATACATCTTACTGAACACCACAGTAGATAAAGATATTAAATTCACATTAAAGATGTAGTGTTTTATTGTATGCCATTACCTCAAAGCCAGCAGTAACTGCCCGAAGCCTTAGTTTTTTGCAGGATAGATAGGCAAGTGCAAGAATGAAATCACAAGCCTTTTAGCAAAGAACTGGTATTCCTTCACTTATACATGTATATGTTAAATGCTAGATCTTAAAAACAGTTCATATAGACTTTCTTTAGCAGCAATTATACAATGTGTATGCTATTTACCTAGGTGAAGTCCATGTAAGTAAAAAGACAAGAAAAATTGCACTGTAAGGAATAGCAGTTGAATGTACAACATACACAGATGCAGGAACAATGTTTGTTCTTAAAAAGAACATCAGGAATTACATAAGGTATAATCACAACAGCATCTCATGAAAATTATTCAATAAATGTTCCATTTCATCTTATTGTAAAGTTTTGAAAAAAACAGCTTCCATCTTAAAATAATGTTTTGATCACTTGATTTTGTTTCTTAGTACAGCTCTGTATTAATAAAGTAACTTTATGAAAAACAGCATCTTTGGGATCAGCAGTTTCTAAAAGAATTCCAAATTCAGTCTGTACTATAAGTTAAAGAAAAAAATCCCCCTTTCAATATTGATTTTTTTTGTAATACATGAACTTTCAGATCTTCACACCACTGCCAGTAGAAAAATTCAGAAGACTATCAAATCAAATTATACTAATCATCCTTAATCTTTAATTGGTTTATAAGAAAAATAACAAAAGAAAATTCCATCTTCTAAATTTAGGTGCCTACCTCTGTGTAATAGGTGAAAGCACCTCCATTGCCATCAGCTGGAGATCTAGACATTAGAGTGATCAGAACTCAGTTTAGTTGCCTATATCTAGTGTCACTTCAGATGCTATAGGTTATCAGACACCTACACAGAACTGGCAGATATGACACATGATCTACAGGACACTTGCACGCCTTTGTAAAGCAGCAGCTGAGGCCAAGTCAGATGTCCTATGGCATCCTAAATGGCACTGGATACTTCCATGCAATTAATTGATCACAGTGGAAACTAAACAGTTACTCTGTTCATCCAAAAAGTAGATGTCTATAATCAGTCAAGTGAATAGCTCTCTTATTTAAAGGACATATCTCTGTAAATACCTATATGTAAGTGTCTTAATTTGCAAGCCCAAAGGTAGAGACCATCTCATATAAATTAAGCTTCTTGAATAGATAGAAGAACAGAAATCTAGAAATAATTACTATGCAGAGTATTTTAGCATGCCTTTTCCTAAAAGAAAAAAAAATTGTTTCAACAGATGTCATGATAAACCTTCGATTTTACAGAGCTTATTGTACTATATCCTGAATCAATAAAATAAGTGACTTTTTGTTCAAGAAAGAATTCACTGCAGAAAGAGCTCAACTAAATGATGCCAACTCAAAGTCTGACCCATATTCATTTGAAATTACTTGAAAAACTAGGATTACTATAACCAAGCTAGGATTACTATAACCAAGCATTTTTTTCACAATGCCTTTTAACCTCTGTCAGCTGTAATTAATCCATATGTTTAAGTCACTGAAGCTTGAGAATTCTTCTAATGCAACAGCAAATCAGGAAATAGGTCACAGTATTTCACCTACACACCTTACTGCATCAAACTGAAGAGATCCATAATCTGAAGTTTTGGCCCTACTTTTTTTAATATTTATGGAATCCCAGCTCTTTTAAGACAGAACTCAATCAAAGCAGAAGACAGGGAAGTTGCAGAAGAGACAACAACAGAACAGAAATAACTGACCTTGCTAATACTTATGAACTGAAGTTTACTTACTATTGACATCAGCGTTAATACGTAGTGCTGTAAATTCTGCCCATGGTGACGAACCATTTTGGTGTCAGCTGTAACCATCACTTCTACATATCTTGGATAGGAAAGAAAACGTTTTTTCCTGGAATGTGGATTACCATCATCCTCTATAGACAGGTTATTTAAAGCATACTCTAAACTGAGAGACTTCTGTAAAACATTGCTCTCTTCATTTAAACTGCTGAAAGTTCGATGTAGTAAAGTGCTCTTCAACTCTTTTTCTGTGAAGTAAAAAAAGAAATTTTACTGTTGAATGCAGTTTCTAAATTTAAAAAGAGAAACAGGCAAAAGGCTGCCCAAAATAGATGAAGCAATCTTGTATTTATGATCTTATTTCAAGAGAAACAGTGCAAGAATTTCAAAAAATATATATTAAACATGGAAGGCTGTAATAGGAACATCAAATTAGAGGTCTTGTACATTACCATATAGTTTTATCATATATGGATTTATTGTTAAAAATTAGCCCAAGAGATAGCAATATTATACAGTTCCTAGAATGCAGTATAATCCAAACAGGCAGGCTGGAAGGAGATAAAAACTACAGCTTAAGCAGTGCAACAAAAGCAGCAAGTTAATTAAACAAATACATACAAACCTTTGACACCAACAGAATTAATCAAAACAAACCATAACAGAGACTAGGCCTGAGTCCTGAAATCAAGTCTGACCTTTTCATTTGTGTAACATTGTGTATATAAATATGGAGAACCTACTCAGATACCTCCAAACTAAGTACTATAATACTTCCAATTATGGTACAGAGTCCAGCCACCAGAGGCTTCCGATGCGTGATACATAAGACCCATGCATTGATCAGGGAGTCACCTTAGGAATAGCCCACGTAAAAATACTTAACTGAGAAGCATATCTGAATTCTCACTCCTCTCCAGAACTTAAGCACCTAACTAGACACTTCAGCTCCCTCAGAACACTTCTCCTCCACTGTCTTTCTGGAAGCTAGATTTCCTCTTAAAAAGTAGCTGTCAAAGGCTATGTTTCCTAATCCTTTTATTCTAATGACTTAGTGACTACAGCAGTGACTGAAGAATTCAGAGATCTCAATTCTGTCGCCCTCATCTTGAGAGAATTTAAATCTACGCATTCCATATTTCAAGGGACAAGTCCTCATCCATAAACTTTTAGCTACTTTTGACATTTCAATAGTCTGTCGTCTTTAAAGTCAGGGCACAATACGGCTAGAAAACAACACTAGAGGGACAACAGCAAGCACTCTAAAGTTTGCTGAGTAATTGTCTAAAAGTCAGTCACAAAACAGAGGTATAATAATTGCAAAAACTATTGGCACTAACATTAACAAGGGCAGAATTTAGGGACTGGCTTTGAAAAGGAACTTGGTTCATGAGTACCTACATATACTAGATGTCTTCAGACTGAGTTTGATGCACTGAAGAGAACTGGTAGAAGCAATCTCATATGCACGTTATCTTTACTAGGTCACAGAAGGTGTCTGAGATTTCAGAGTAATAGCAAAATGGGAAACAGCATCTACATTTAAAGTGAGAGCATAAAGACGACCTAAATTTATGGACCAGCCAAGACAAATTCAGTACCGGAACAAGTCAAATTAATTTTGTTTATAAACACTAGAAATCAATAAGTGGATGAGTAACAGCTATCATATTTATCAAAAACATATCATGGCAAACTCAGATGAGCTTCCCTGTATTAAGGAAACAGAATTTATGGATAGAGGAAACGCAGCAGATGTCCTATCTTGACTTCAATAAGGCAAGTACCATGGTTTCCAATTAATTTTTCATCAGCAAGTTTGTTTAGAAGAAACTAGTACAAAGTGAGGAAAAGATTAGTTAGTTTTAGATGTAATTATCATGGTACAATTTCAAACTAAAAAGATGTACTGAATGCTATGCCTCTCCATATCCTCTGTCAAGGTTCACTTACTAGAGAAAGACACACTCTCATGATCACAAGTATTGCTAGATATACTCTGTTTCTCCTTGAAAGGTAGATGTGAAAAACCAGGGAAGACAAGCATTAAAGGAGACAAATCTCTTCTTTAGAAGGACAGAAACATAGCAACATAAGATTGTTCTCCATGAACATTTCTGCAACTTTGTTCTCTCAAAAATGACAGTAATATGCCTGGCTCACAATCTTTTGTAGTTGCTCCAATAAATGAAAAGGGGGAAAATGACGATATTCTTAATGCTTAGAGCCTTTTTCTCACACTAGGTTGCTTATATTAGAATTCTCATACACAATATAGAAAAAAACAAGCAACACAACAAACTGAAAGACCTCTTCTTTGGTTCCGTATGTATTATTCATCTTTTTAGAATCAGGAATAACAATGCTTGCTTGATTTTCAAACAAAGTACTAACTCCTTGTCCTGCAGTGACAACCAATTAATAGATTGATTCCTAGATTCCTATAGCTTCCTAGAACAGAGCTAAAGAAATACCTTTCACTAGAATTTGTTGAATGCAGGATAGTCATAACTGTTGCTTTCTGGCCTTAGTAACTACAGAAAAGCAGAATTCTCAACATATTGCTTCTGAGTATAAAATAAGTATTTTCCAAAATTAAAAACACTAGCCACTCAAGCTACACTATTTTTGCAATTTATACTTCTAACATCTGGATAGCTATTCCTTAAGAAAATAAAGTTGAAATTTTCTTTTTTCCTTTTCTTCAGAGTCATATTTATGCACTCAGCCTTGCTTAAATGTTCCTGAAGTGCAAGCACATTCAACACGCATAAATGCAGATTTCAATCTCATGAAAGGTGGAGAATTTCAATTAGACAGGATGTTTCTAAATGCCAAGTTGAACCAAATATAAGTTGCTTTTACCTACTATGAATCTCTACCCATTTATGTTTTCTTTGAAGTCAAATAAGTGAAGGTTGCACGCTTCTATCAAAAGTGAAAAGAAAAGCATTTATTATGTCACTAGATTTCAAAAAAAATGTTTCCAACATAATGAAAAATATTTTTTAAATGGCACTAGTATAATAGTAAAGGTTAAGAAGTGCATTGCTCAGGCAGGATTTTCAAAGGCTTCTACATCATTATATCCCAAAGCAGACGGTATCTCAGTGTTACAATGAGTCTATGGACACCCACAATTCCAAATAAATCCTCTCGAATCCTACTCTTTTGTCTAGTTTTTGTACTTTTATGGTAGCTGCAGGTGCCTTTCTCACATCATACCATTTCTTGACTACAAAGATGCATGCATAACTCTGAAAAACAACTACTCAAAGTTTTCTGCCCCATTGAAAAACATATTAGTTTAAAGCACAGTGCTTTCTACTCATTGCTTCATGGTATTAATAAAGCTTTTTTGTCTTTCATAATCACTTTCACTGCATACGTTTTCACTCTTAAGTAACTTTGCTTAATGATTAACCTATGTACTGTGAAGCTACAAAAGTGCAACCATTCACTTGTCACATATCCTAATAGTAAGCCTGTAAATTACTCCACTTACCTTTATTTTAAATAAAACTAAATATTATGAATATTTAGTATGAATAAATTATTAAAATATTCATCAGGAGAAAAAACTACATTAATGGGCAATATTAGACAGTTCCATTACTAAAGAAGACACAGATGTCCTGTATTATCTGCTAGACTTGCAATAAGTTAAGTTTTCCGAATATAAGCAACGACTCCTGTGGATCTCCTTATTAAATGTTTACATATGGGACAACACAGGTGTTAAAGTAAACCCACAGAGAAGTTCTTGCAATATCATGATTTTTAATGATTTTTTACATGCACATTTTGTCCTACATTTGAATTAGCCACTGGCAGAAAAAAGACATGGCCAGCAAGCCTACATGAAAGAAATGCGTAGGTTCTAATGGAACAATCTGGAGATAAATACTATTTATGAAAATTAAATTTTGCCTTTTAAAAAAATATCTGACATTTGAAAAAGTCACATAGAAATTTAAAGTAGGACTATACCTGAAGCTTCACAAGGTTTATGGGATTTCTGATACTTTTTTTTAGTTTCTTCATGCCTGTATATAAGATGTGGTTTGTTATGTTCATCTTCATGTTCACTTCCATCCGCTTTCATCAGAGGTTCTAAAAAATATTCACCATCATGTGCCTTAAAGGTGCCCATCTGAAAGTAAAACAAGTAATTGATTTATTTTCCACTAAAGATACCGATACAAAAATAGTTTTCATTGAAACTAACGTTTTGAAATCACGTGAGATGCAGGAAACTTCAGTGGAAGCTAGTGACGGAAGCTTGAAGGCAAGGCAAAGGCAAGTTTGCTTTCAGAGACTTGTCACACCAGGATAACTCCTAACAGACTACTTTGCCTATTAACAATGCATCATAGGTAATCACTATACAGAATTAATGAAACACAGGAGATCATAAAAGTAGAGAACCTACGTATAACCACGCAGAACCAGCTGGGAACTGTGCAAAGGGGAGCAGAGGCCACCAAAAAAAATAAGATTTGTCTTGCCCAAATTCTAGACTGATGTGTTGTCTTCTGTCCTTTACACAATTTACATAATTTTGCCCATAGATGAGAACCTGATATTCTTTTTAAAGACTCTGAAATGAGTTCCAGGAATTCAAAGTTGACAGTTTCATTAATGCATTTTTCTCCTTGATTTTTTTACCCCTCCCCTCTATAGCAGACACACATGAGTAACTATGTAATGGGAACCAAAGGAACTTCATTACTAACAAAAGCACTGGCACATATACAAAGAAAAAGAACAAAAATTAAGCCCTGCCCCACCCCACAATCCATTCAATTATGAAATCCTAAACCAGAATCTCTTTTCTCTCTGCACTTAAATTCATATTTTCGTATGGCTTAAGTACCTTATTTTCAGGAAACTCTGAGGGGGGAAAACCATGTAAGAATTTCATCAAATTATTTTCAGACTTTCTGCCAATTAAGCACCTAGAGAGAACAGGTGCACTGCACCCCGTTAGCTGTTTTGCCATATTAGTGAGGCATGTTGACCAATAAGAGACTAGTGATAATCTACATAATATCATTTAAGAGATTAAGTGTTGACATCAACCTTGAAATTCAGAGTTATAGAGAGAGTAGCAGAGCAAGATATATGGGAAAAGAAGCAAGAACAGGGTTTTTTTTTCAAGCAAATAATACAAACAGTCTTTTTAAATGTGCTGCTGACTGCCTTAGTGTCCAGGTTATAGCACAGGAATTAAAATATCCCCTTGAATTTGGGATCCTCTAGCAGTTACCAGGTTTCTATATTTAAAAGTCTGTTAGGCTTCAAGCATATGTCTGACTATCTGTAATCTTGCCTGATACATGGTGTACATATCATCCAAAATTACAGTTACTATAAATCCACTGTGGTTGGATCCTCTGCATCATCTTTGTAGCAGAATGAAAAAAGTCTCAGCTCCGTAGTATTCTCCTTCCAAGACGGTTTAAATTTAACTCACAGAAACACTTTTCCCCCTCAGTTTCATTTAAATTCTTTGCAAGTAGTCTTCATGCTGGATCCTTTCTATGTTCAGATCCTTTATATGTTCTCACATGCAGTGTTTCCAGGGCTTGTGGTTTGTAGAGGACAGCAGATGGAACATACTGAGAAGGCTATGTGCCTCCCTGGGAAGGGACTCACGAAAACAGATATGCCACAGCTTGTCAGTTAGGACTAAGTAGGTGCAACCTTCTGGGCAAAGTGACAGGGACAGACAAGAAGAGCCCAGCACTCAGGGACAAAGCAAGAACTGATGCTGAGACTCCTGTTGATGATTTTTTACCGAAATTACTGAAGTCTCAATTATCAAAACACGGTAAACTTGATCCCATGCTACTTGTGAACACTAACATGCTAACTAATTCTTTTCTCCTGACATATCTAGAAATAGCATTTATGGTAAGAGACATTCAAAAGATCTTATTTTAAATTTAAGCAAAAGCTTTACTGCTACTACTTTATTTCACATATACATTTTACTTACCTCCTAGTCCTTCTAATAGCTAGAGCAGATAGTCTGTATTTGTTTCTTCAATGGCTTTTCCAACTAACAGGCTTTCAGATTTTACAAAGATATTATTCCAGCTACAACAAACATATCAATTATGAGAATAAAAGCGAAGAACTAACAAGGAAAGAGTTTGTGCTACATTTTAAACCAAACTCATCTTACAGATTATCAGACTTCCACTGGAAAAAGATGAAGTGCAAAAACAAGGCTATATTTTCCACCATTTCAGACTCAAAAAAAGTTTTTGGAATTTTCAAAGTGATCAAACTCACTTGTTCAGACTCCTGACCCCATATTTAGGATTCTTTTCCCTCTGATAGCACTTGGTTGTCTATCTAGGAATTCAAAACTATATTTATGCACCATTACCCTATCCAGTGTATTGGGAAGAGTGAAAATGAGGCATCATGACTGACCTAACTCAACCTAGAATTGCTGATACTCTGAAAGAGGTATTTCTGCCTTGCTCCTCCTCTAGATATGTGCTCCCACACTTCTTGGTCTACACACTAGCAATAGAAGTCATGTACACTATATACCAACTCCTCTGTGTAGTTAAAAATCTATGCCTCCTACCAAAGAGATATTTTAAAGATTTTTTCAACTGAAATAGCACAGACCCCCTGGAATGGAGAATCATTTTTCCTGGCAAAAAAACTCAACTTCATATCAGCAAGAGTTTACTGTAAAACCAAACCATCAAGTGACTCAGAATGGTGCTCCAAAGACTGCACATCAAGCTGAGCCTAACAATGAATACATAACATAAAACACCTGGCAACTTCTGTGGCTGAGCCTTCATTATTCTATAGTCTAAGTATCTCAATCAGAACTGATACGTGTATCTTAATTAAAATCCAGAATCCTGTGCTGAAAAAAAGACAATGAAAACATCTGGGGAGAAGAAAAAAAGCCAAACAAACAACAAAAAACAGAAGGCAATTCTCCCTCTTTTAAAAGATACTCAGAAGTAGCAGTAAGTGTGCTCATCTTCACAGTAAATGATTAGAGAAACTACATAGAAAGCAAAACAATGAAATCTCTTTCATTATACCCAAGAAAATACAAAACACACCATAAACTTGTAACCCAAAAAGTTAGGACAGACAGCTGAAGGGGAAGAATCCTATATTATGTTTCACGACCTCAGAATTTTTCTTAGCTTTTTGTTTTAAATCAAAAGATTTATACAAGAAGGCACAACAGTATCCTTAAGACTGGAGATTCCACCTTTCCAGACACTTGGGCTAACTACTTCAGAAAATCAGGGCCAGGATTCCTCTCACTCGCTTACTCTCTGGCCCACTGATTATTGCACAGTACCCCAGGATCAACCGTCTTTTTAGATATGGAAGAAATAACTAATCAAAAATCTATAATGCAACAAACTTTCATTCTTTCCTCAACGAATTCTCTCCTCTTCAACTATGTATAGATAAATATGTAATTATTACCTCTGACTAGTTAGGAACACCTCTCACCAGTAGTCTATGATAAATTTTTTACACTTCCCCTTTCCAAGTTGAGAAGAACTCATTGTATTGTATGCGAGAAAAAACACAGGATAAGAAATTAAAACAGCTCTATTTTAAGAAAGACATTTTTCATTTAAAACCCCAGCTTAAAGGTACCAATCCCAATCCTTTAAATTCTCTATAAGACTAAAGCTGGATTTTCATTAGCTACACACAGTTATCTCTTCATTTTCCTAACACATAGGTCTACAAAAATTCAGTCATCAGCTATACTGTCTGTTTTGTAGTCCTTCATTCATGAAAGGGATACTTAATTTGGTGACAGACACTGCTGATACACATGGAGCTATCATCATGAGTTAGGCACACAAGGAAAAGGTCTGAGAGATCCAAATAAAAAATACTTTTGGTAAAACCAAATAAACCAAAGTCATTTAGATGTACAGAGGCAGGTTGCCGAAACAGGAGCCCAAACATTTGGAGGAAATGAAATCAGAAATGAACTGGATTTACTTATCATCTACAGATGCCTCTCAAATCACATAACAAGAAATCTGCCTGAAACATTCTATTTCTGTTCTCAGATAAAGAGGTAAAAGTACATTTAAAAGATCTCTTCGGTAGAAGTGGAGTACAAAATTGAAAACAGTCTCTTGCACATCATAAATAAGGGGTCCAAAGAGGGACTGCTACCCCTATGAATATACATAGATTTGAGGAAATTTATGTGAAAAACCACATGAGAAAGATAATTTATTTCTTGGATTTAAAATACTCTGCATGAGTTAGACACTTTATATTAAATCAAGGTTCAATGGATCAATGCAGCTACTCACTATATATGGTATGCCTCAGTCGTTTAAAGTATAGTCTTTATCAATGCATTTGCTCTATTCCAAGAGCAACAGAAATAAATATTACAGAACTTATGGTCAAAGTATGTACCATGCCCATATACAAATTACAGCCTTGTATATAATGGCAACTTCATAGAACACATGGAAAACATAAGGGATATATAGCAGGTTTCAGAAACGTGGAATTAATATGTCCAACAGCAAAATTGGAAAGGTTTCAGAAAAATGCTAAAAGAACAACTTAAGTTCTGGAAAACATGACTCTAAACTGGCAGACTCCCTCCCAGGTAAGTTCTGCTCCTATAATCAAGTATTTTTCATGCCCTCATAGTATGGCTTCTTAAATCCAAAAACCTCCAAGTAGTTTACAGCAAGAGTACTTTCATGGTCAAAGTAAATTACAAAATCCCTTCCTTTTATATTATTCTCTTCCCTCCTCCTCCTTGTGTTAATTCAAAGCTCTACTGAATCATGTGAGAAGCCCTTCACCCTTTTCTTCCTGCTCCACTGTTACAATGTTTTCTAACGAAAGACTTAAGCTTAGCTTAATTAGCTCACTGAAGAAAAAAGTATTAGAGGTTATCTGATCACAGTACACAGCCAGCATCTGGAAAAAAATAATTCTACTGTAAGATAATTCAGCTAGAAACACAACAAGAGGTAGTGGTTGCAAGCTAATGTATTAAAACTAGAGCTAATACAACAGAAATGAGAAAGCAGTAATAAAATAGTAACCAATACACTAGTAATAAAATAATAAATAATACACCAGCTGAGCAACAGGGAAGAAATA